CGCACAGAAGGCGTTATGACAGGGCTACTAAGTGCGACAAATGTCAGAAGCACGCTAACATCCACCACTGACTTGCTGCCAATCTGAAACAACCTCACTTGACCGTGGCCCTTCGCGTAGTGGGGAATCAACATCCTTGGCCCATTCCCGCCAGCGATAGGACAGAGGAAGAGACAAATGATGACAAGCTCCGTACTAACCTAGACCTGGTGGAAGAAGTACGAGACCTGGCATACATCCGGACTGTAGCTTACCAACAGAGAGTAGCTCGGTACTATAATGTCCGGGTCAAGAAGCGACACTTCCGCGTCGACGACCTGGTTCTTCAGAAGGTTATGATACCTAAGCCTGGTGTCGGTGACTTGGGAAGGTCCGTACCGAGTAAGACGGGTATATGGGGAAGGTACGTACGAGCTTGAGACTCTGGAAGGGAAGCAAGTACCTCAAGCGTGGAACATCAGCAACCTAAGAAGATAATACTTGTGATCACCGAACTATTGAGAGGACTACAAGTCACTCCCAGAAGCCCAAGGGCCATGATGCCAAGGTGACATAAGACCTCGGCACTATGATAAGTCCCAGTCGCCTCTTCGGCATGGGCGGATAAGTCCCAGTCACCTCTTCGGCATGGGCGGATAAGCCCTAGTCGCCTCTTCGGCATAGGCAAACAAATCCTAGTCGCCTCTTCGGCATAGGCAGACAAGTCCTAGTCGCCTCTTCGGCATAGGCAGACAAGTCCTAGTCGCCTCTTCGGCATAGGCAGACAAGTCCTAGTCGCCTCTTCGGCATAAGCAAATCGGTTTTCATGCCCAAGGCATAGACAGCTCAGGTACAAACCCTACGACGTCTAGTCCACCTCGGCATATAACAACAGGTTGATCCCATTTGAGGTTAGGCCCGATGGCTCGACACTAAGGGATAATCGACACCTAAGAAAGTAGCCCGTGCGCAGACAGGTCAGGTATATACCCTACAATGTCTGCCCACCTCGGCGTACAATAATGCGAAGTTACCCCTACTCGAAGTCCAGCTCGTTAGCTCGACAATTCGGGGTAACCAACACTTGGAAAAAATCTACTTCGATTATCCCTACTCGTAGTCCAGCCCGTTAGCTTGATAGTTCGGGGCAACCAACAATGACATTTTTGCTCCTATGTGGTTTAGTTCGCCAGTTCGGGGGTTGTTTACACTTAGAAAGTTTTGCACAGAAATAGTCAAAATGCTTATATTTCATTGATCCAAAGTTTGAGTACAAAAAAAAAGAAACTTCCACTATGAACCGAGCTCAGAGGCTCGGGGTATACATCATAAAGGATCAAGGAGAGGCTTCTAGTCATCTCGGGGCTCCTCACCATTGTCTGAGGCTTCGGTAGGAGGATCCGTTTTCATGCAGCTCTCACCGGCACTGGTCTCCTCAACGTCATCCAACAGGTCGCTGTCACTTTCTGCTTCGGAGTCCAGATCTTCAGCAGCTTCGGCAGTCATTTCCTTTGTGATCCTCGAGGTAGTTATGGCACTAAAATCAAGTTGGGGGAACTCACGTCAAGTCAACCACCTACTAAGCTTGAAGCCTTTGTGGTAGCTTGTCGTCCCCACCTCGACTATCTCCCTCCGGTACTCCACCGAAGTCTTGTACTCCTCAATGGCCTTAACCTTGGCCTCCTCTACTACTTGAAGGAGTATCTCAGTCCACTCCTTTACATGAGCCTCGAGGTTCTCCACCTCCCTCTTCAGCGCTGCCTCCCTCTCCACGAGCTCCTTCTTCTCGAACATCAATAGCGTGATCAGCTCTTTCTTAGCCCGCGCGTCCTTCTTCAGTTGGTTATTATCATTGCGGGCTAAGTTCAGCTCGGTATGGGCCTTGCGGGAATACTCCTCGGTTGCAAGGGCCCGCTTCATGTTCACCTCGGACTGATAAGCCAAGGCATGGATGGCAGAATTCACCTACCAAGAGAAGAAAACAAGCATTAGTACATGAAAAACCAAGTACAAGATCGAAGGAGAAGATAAGTCAGAAAACTAACCACCATGCAGTGGGTAGCCGCTCGGGCTCCGAGCTGAGCGAACGGAAATTTGGCCCAGCCAGCGACCTCCTCGGCATACACTGCGTTTTTGCTCTTGAGGCCATATTTCGGAGTCAGAATGCTTTGAGCTGCGTCATCGATGCCTGAAGAAGCAGCAACTGCAGGGGCGGGCTCCGAAGACGTCGCCTCCTTGGGCTCGTGGAGCAGGGAGAGCTTACCAGATTCCTCCTCGACCAAGTCTATCACAGGAGGTTGCTCGGCGATAGATGGCTGCTCGGGCTCTGGAACAGCAGCCAGCGGGGATTCAATGCAAGCTCTTTTTGAAGCTCGCTTCTTCTTACCCTTCTTCATACTCCCAAAGAGTTCAGTCACGGGGATGTCTATGATAGCTGCAACAAAAACGAACTGTCAGAAACAATACCGAAATAAAACAAAGGAAATACAACAAACAACGACCTACCAAGACTCAGACCGGCCTACACAGGCTTCTCCTCGGTCGCGAAGTCTACGAACTTCAAGCCGAGCTCCGCCCAAGATCGGAGTGCCTCCCTTGTCTTCAGGTCCAGATGGACACCGGGGTCCTGGATGGCCGCCCTCCAATGGGTCGGGAAATGCCACCCCTCAGTGTTGCGGACCACAAAGTATCGCCTCTTCCAGGCCGGGACCTTGTTCAGGAGCTCGTGCAAGAGTTTGAAGCCTAGACGTGGTGACAGGTAGTAAGTTTGCCTGTGCTCGGGCAGAACACAGGACAAGTTCTTCTTGATAGAAAGAATAGAAGAAAAGATGTCGAGGTCGAGAGGAAGGCTATAGTCGTGGAAAAGGGAGATGGTTCCTACTACATTACAGATGGAGTTCGGGCTAACTAATCTATGGTGATGTTAAACAACTTTATGACATTGACTATCATGGGGTGAAGTGGCAGTCGAAGACCAGCTACGAGCCGTTCCTCAAAGATTACGATCCCGTCATGACCGTGCTCCCAAGGGAAATTTTCTAAGGGGATACTATACACAAGGTTATCGGGAAGTCTGTACCGGGCTACTAGGGATAGGAGCATGTCCGCCGTCATTGTCGACGGGCCGAAATTATCTGGCACCCGACCTCGATGCGAGGTGGAAGCTAGGTCACCAGAGGCCTCTCGCTCCCCCCGGGGTGAGTCCACCTCGGGAGGACTGCGGAATGCATTCTAACCCGAACTAACCTCCTTGGCAGGATGAAGATCTATGGCCTGAGCCGATGTACCCACCTCAGCTCCAGCGGATTCACCACTCCTGTCTAAAAGACTATCAAAGCTAAAACTAGACATAATGGAAGACGCGGAATTGAAAAAGAGAGCTAGGGGAGACTCACCAAAAGAGAGACCGAACTAAAGAAAGGAAGACGACCTCGGGAAGACACCGAACTGAAGGACTTCGAGTGCGACCTCAGAATGTGAATTATCGGACTTGTGGCAAAGAAAATGAGTCCCTTTCCCCCTATTTATAGCCACTATATCCGAGAATCAACAGTCGAGATCGTCACAATCCAACGACTCCTAGGAAAACCGGTTGCACGACCCCTGAGGTTAAAATCAGTTTAGCGCGTGTTTTGACGTCCGCGGAGTTTATAAAACGGCTTGACGTCCGTGCGTACACCTTACGCGACCTGGGTTGTCCCTAGTTGAGCCAAGCGGTCGAGCTGGTCTGACCAATGATTCACCCGTCAGACCGCCTAGACCTCGTGCCAAATCCACCTGTACTCATCATGAACTCCCTGCACCGGGTTGAGACCCCTGGCTCGGGGAGTGGGTGCAATTGATGAAGGGTGATTTGGCTCCGACCTAGCAAAAATGGGACACGTGGACACGACCTGACAAAGAGATGACAACTCAGCCTGACAAGTTTAATTCGCAACAATTGACCTCGGGTATTCAGTCACCTCGGCATAAGGGCCGCCTCGGCATAAGGTTCGCCTCGATGCAGGGTCACCTCGGTATTAAATCTAGTTCGGAACTAAAAGACCGAAGTATCAGCTCGGGACCAACAACTCGAATCGCCACGTAACTAATTCCCGCATGACCAACTCTAGAGGTCTCTCCAACGGATCCCGAATCTCTCGTGATTACGATGAGCTAACAAATCCTGACTTTTCCGAGATCACAATGAGGACTCATCCCGACTCCGTCGAAGTTGGAAGTGGAATGATAAGCCTTACCTATATACTGCTCCTTCGGAAGCGGAACGAACTCTATCTCCACACCCCGGATATCCCGGAGCTCTTTCGTGAGCTCCATGACTACTTTAGTATATAAAGGCACCAACCCCAATGGTGCAAGGTACGCGAGATTTTTCTACTCTCTAGTTCTCTAACTCTCTAAACTCTCTAAACTTTTCAGTTCGCATCAGTTTACAGACTTAAGCATGAGAGCGACCTCACCGGATTAACCACCCCAAATTCTCTGGTCCTTTCTTGCAAATCAATAGTAGGAAGTACTAAGATCGCGCAACATCATTTCGTCCTCAATTTTTTGCGAAATGAAAAAATCTGTAAATCTACTCTCTTTCAGCGTACTCCACCTGCCCCTCCTCCGTATTGTCTAGCTGCAAGACCAAAGGCCGCCTCGTCACGATACCAAATCCCCTTAATTATGAAAATTGTATTTATGCTGCCATGAACAATTTCTGTTAATAAATATTAAGGTACTCTAGCGGATAATAAATTTTAGAAAACAAAAGATAACTGACATGGGTTGCTGAGGTTATGAAAAGTTATGAATTTAAGAGAAATATCGAAAAATCATTAATGAATTTTAGACAATTTCGTTATAAGAAAAGGAGAATACACCAGAAAGATGGCAGTTGGCATACTCAAGCTGACCATCTCTGCCAGGCGACCCTGGCCCACACTAATGAGACCATCTTTGATCTTTTTCCACGTAGCGGCCTGCCCTCCCAGGAACGAAACCCTCTCTACCTTCCTTCACGCATCACGCATCACGCGCCCCTTCTCCTCCTCTATATATCCTTACCTCTTCCCCCCTTCTCCACCCCCATCCGGCCATCTCCCACCTCTAGACTCCAGTTCGTTTATAGAAATATATATATATATCAATAAACACAACAAATACAGGGTCAATATATGGAGAAACTCACTCTCACCAGTTTGTTGAAGCAAGCCGCCGGGAAGTTCCCCTCCCGCCGAGCTCTTTCCGTTTCCGGCAAGTACGATTTGACACATGCTCGTTTGCAACAACTAGTCGATCAAGCCGCCTCTCGCCTCATCGCCTCCGGTATTAACGCCGGCGATGTCGTTGCTCTCACCTTCCCCAACACTGCCGAGGTTCGATTCCTCTGTCCTCCCATTTTATTTCCCTAATCGAAGCTACCTTGTTTCTGTTCTTCGTTCTCATGACATCACTACCCTGCATTCTCAATGCTGCGAACATCAGAAAATATTTTGGTATATTTTTTAAATTGCGAAAATTTTCTCGGCTACTATTTTATTCAAATAATTTTTTCTTGTATAAATTATAAACACCAAGTACAAGGACGACGATTTCATCCATTAATTTATGTATGTACGTGCATAAATTTTGTCGTTTTGCAGTTCGTCGTCATGTTCTTGGCTGTAATCCGAGCCCGAGCCACGGCTGCACCGCTCAACCCTGCCTACACTCCGGAAGAGTTTGAGTTCTATTTGTCCGATTCGGAATCAAATCTCCTCTTGACATCGCAAGAAGGGAACCAGTCGGCTCAAGCCGCTGCTGCGAAACTCAACATCCCCCACATTACAGTCACGCTGTCTCACGAAGACGAAGACGTGAATCTGTCTTCGTCGTCTTCCGACTCCAAGACGACGGTCTCGTTTCCAAACTCGATAGACCGAATCGTCAACGAGTCGTCCGACGTAGCGCTGTTCCTCCACACTTCCGGCACCACGAGCCGCCCAAAAGGTGTGCCCCTTACGCAGTTCAACCTCGCCTCCTCTGTAAATAACATAAAATCCGTGTACAAAATCACCGAATCCGACTCAACCGTTCTGGTCCTTCCGCTCTTCCACGTTCACGGTTTAATGGCCGGGTTACTGAGTTCACTCGTCGCCGGAGCCGCCGTGACTCTCCCAGCTGCGGGACGCTTTTCCGCTTCCACGTTCTGGTCAGACATGCTCGCTTATAACGCTACGTGGTATACGGCGGTCCCTACTATTCACCAGATCATCTTAGACCGCCACCTCAGTAAGCCGGAGCCAAAGTACCCGGAGCTCCGATTCATAAGGAGCTGCAGTGCGTCACTGGCGCCGTCTATATTGACTCGGCTGGAGGAAGCATTCAACGCTCCGGTGTTGGAGGCATACGCCATGACGGAGGCGTCGCATCTGATGGCGACGAATCCATTGCCTGAGGACGGTGCGCACAAGCCGGGGTCGGTTGGGAAGCCAGTGGGGCAGGAGATGGCGATACTGGATGAGAATGGTGTGGCACAAGCGGCGGAGGTTAAGGGGGAGGTATGTATTAGGGGGCCAAATGTAACCAAAGGCTACAAGAACAACCCTGAAGCCAACAAGGCGGCCTTCAGTTTCGGATGGTTCCATACCGGAGATGTCGGCTTCTTGGACTCGGAGGGATATCTGCATCTCGTCGGCCGGATCAAGGAGCTTATCAACCGCGGAGGTAAATCAATTTCCTTTTTTTTTTTTGTTCTTATAATAATAGCTTTCGTGTTCTTAGAATTTAGATATAGTTTTGAGAAAATCTAAGAAACTTGTCGACTCAGTTCAGGATAAAACTTTATGGACGAGTAAGTTCGATAGTTTCTTACTATAATATTCGTCCTATTTTTTGTCTTCAGGAGAGAAGATTTCACCGATTGAAGTGGATGCAGTTCTCTTGTCTCATCCAGACATTGCCGAGGCGGTTGCCTTTGGAGTTCCCGACGATAAATATGGCGAAGAGGTAAAGCCCAAGAGCGTCCTGTGTGTGTGTGTCCTCAAGCTACTCAGCCTTCAACCTGAGGCAATTTGCGTGTGTGAACGACATTCACTGGTTGCAACTATCCTACTGCGACAGTGATTAGATTCTGTGATTCACCCACTAATCACCATTATAGATTATGGTTGAGATCATTGGCTTGGCCATGGCTTTGAGTGACTGAACTTGGGTTGGCTCCATTGGGGTGGGTAAGCAGGCCTCAAGTCAAAGTCATCAACCTAAATGCGGTCCCTGTCTCGTAAGTTACAACTATATTTATTATTTAAGAAAGAACTGACGTCCTTTAATTATGTCCGCCCCAAAATGAACAAAATGCCGTGGCCCGAACCAAGGAAGACCAGAAAAATTGAAGCCTTTGTATGGTCAAATTTGGCGTTTTATGGATGTTTAACGCATCTCTGTATTGTAACTTTTGGTGAACAGATCAACTGTGCGGTGATTCCTAGAGAAGATACGGACATAAGGGAGGAGGAAGTGCTGAGATTTTGCAAGAAGAATCTGGCTTCGTTCAAGGTCCCTAAGAAAGTCTTCATAACCGACTCTCTCCCGAAGACTGCAACTGGGAAGATCCAAAGGCGCTTTGTAGCTGAACACTTCCTTGCTCAAATCTCTACCGCTCAAGTCCCCAAATTCGGGGCCTAAACCAAATATATACACAAAGAAACACTAGAGTGTGAGTACTGACTACTGAGTAGTAGTACCATGCACGGCCTGCCCTACACATATGATGAAGTGTTATCTGAAATTAATAGATTAAGTAATTAGCAAATAGTAATGCCCCCTCCCTTGTGGTGACAAGGACTCGGGAGGCAACGCAGGACTCATATGTATTAGCACTTTTTTTTTTGACAGGTGACTCATGTATTAGCACTTGAGTTGACAAATATTAGAAAAAGGAATGAAGTTCAATACCAGCAAGCAGGAAGCTTGTGGTCATTCATTCAAGTTGTGTCAAAATTGTAAAATTTTTATGATATTCTTTTTGCCTTCATTTTCATTTTAATGTGATCTTATATCTTATATATATTAATATGAAAGGAGTGTTCTCCCATCTTACTGTTCATTTATTGTATACTCGAGTTTTTCCATTGCAAGATATCATACATATTCATACTTTATATTTTTTTATTACATAACGTGATATTTGTTCATATTCCATCTTTTTTTTTCGAGATCTATTTTATTTTTTTCTCTATTTTCTGCCTCTCCGCTCTCTTACCCCCTCAATGCATTTGCAATTTTTCAAATTAGGTACTCCTTCCACCTACATGGTTGGGGTTACAGTTTGGTTTGATTCTCTAGCAGGAGGAATTGTTGTTTGATTTTGGTTTTATTTTATTATATTTCATTATGGTTCCAATTTTGCTAATGAGAAATGGGTTTTGTTTTTCTTTTGGTGGGTTACTGTTCTTTTACTTCTCTTCGAGACCCAAAGAGAGATAAGATCACCGAGATACATGACAATGAAATGGATGGGTTTTGTTTTTCTTTTGGTAGGTTACTGTTCTACTTCTCCTCTTCAACACCAGAGAGAGATAGGATCACCAAGTCAACAGGCTAACAGAGCCTTGTTGTACTGATTAACAGAGGCACCGACAAGTCGTTGGCCCGAGTCAAGACCACTCATTTTGTGGCTGAATGGAGGGACCGGGTGCTCATCTATGGCTTATGGTGCGGCTGAAGAGATGTGGCCATTCCGTATCCATCCCGAAAGGAAGACCCTCTTCTTCAACCCCTATGCTTGGAACAATCGTATGTCAAATTTTAGTGTAACCTCTGTTCTCTTATCAAAACTTGTAAGGGAAAAAGAGAATAATTGGCGCCTATATACGTAATCCTAATCGCATTTTTGTGTGTTGCAGCGGCGAAGATGCTTTTCCTAGAATCTCCAACGGTGGTCGGTTTCTCGTATTCAAATACTTTATCTGACTTGTATACCACCAGTGACCAGAGGACAGGTGCTTTTTTTAAATTAATTATTGTTTTGGGTGTTTACGATAATACCCCTCTAGTTGTTTTTGCTCTATCTATTCCAAATCAATATGTTCCGCAATTATCTTAACTTGTTTACCAGAGAATCCTTCTATTAATTTCAAAGGTTTCTTTGTAAGTTGATGAGAATTTTCTTTTGCATGTCTTGGACTCTTTATGCTTAACCGCAATTCAACATTTATATGGTTTCTAGTTTCCGTTCTCCTTTTCAGGTTAGAAACGTTGTTACTCATGATTGCCATGATTATGTGGCACCTTTCGAATATTGGTGGACTCATGGTTTAATTTCTGATGCTACTTACAGAACTCTAAGAGCTGCTTGTGACTTTGGATCCCCACAACACCCTCATATTGTTGTCTTCTCTGTCATACTCTGATATTTTTGAGGTACAATGTCATCTTAGCTCATGGATATTCCTGTGTAGTTTCTTCCCTAAGCACCATGTAAGAGTGCTATCTTTCATAATCTGTGCAGGGTCTTTAGAAGTATTGACAAGCATAAATGTTGGTCACACCCTGAGACACTTGAATTTGTTATCCGAGTATAAGATGTGAAAATTCTGTTCCCTCTGTGCCTCTATTAACACTTTCTGATAGGGCATGACCTTTCAACCCCATTGTTGTTTGGCCATGCTTTACATGTCTTTATCAATGGACAACTTTCAGGTATACTGGTTTTATGTTTATTTCATGGAATTAGAAACTTGTACAAGATTGTGGTTTGATAGTTTAAGCTCTCAGAATACACAATCTTTTTCATCTGAAAAGTTGTTGTTGCTTTACCTTGATAATAGAATCTGCTTCTAGGACAAGGGAGAAAAGAATATTTACTGTTATAGGGAAGGTCAACCTGTGTGCTAGAATCAATAGAATTGCGCTTGCGCTTCTTGGATTGCCAATCGGTGCCCTGTTTTAATTAGTTTCATGCTTTGGTCAAGGCACAATGACTTAGTATCTAAATATGCTAACACCATAGTCTTTAGCCTTGAAGAAATTTCACAAAATTTTGATTTTATTTGAGCCAAACAAAATTCAAACTACCAAATTTTAGGCTACAGAGGTTTTGAGGGGATGAAAAAATTAAACAATAAAAGATATATCTACAATTACATTTATTTCAAACACAATTAAAATAATTTTTAAAGTACAGATATGATTAAACAAGTAAAACTTAAGTCCTAACAAAGAGTGGAATTTTGCAGAGCTAGGTGCCGTCTTGTCAGCTATAGGATTGTATCTCTCTTTTTTGTTTAATGAATTTTTCATCTTACTCTTGGAAAAAGTGTATGGAATAAATACAATTAGTTAGTATATGTTGGTATATTATTGGGTTCAGATCATCATTGCTAATATGTTAAGGCAAACAATTTAGGTTGACATTTAAGATCAAAATCTCTTTCAACAAGCTAAGTATAATGCTCAATGCATGCCTTGTAGTAATTAGCATTAGAAAGTAAGGCAGTAATTGTCATAACCATCATCTCTTCAATAGTAGTAGTTAAGAAATAAGACTAGCACCAAATATGTGTCAACATTATATGTCAAAAAAGGGCTATTACCAGTGTGAAAACCTTATTTAGTCCTAGGTTATAGTAGAAAAGAAGGAGAAGAAGAAGAAGAGGAGAAGAAGAAGAAGGGTTCGGCCAATAGAGGAAAATTTGTCCTCTCTCTAATCGACCCACTTGTATTTATCTCCAATAACATAGTTACAAGAAAGACCATATTGCCCCTCATAAGTGATGGAACACATAACTTAAACTTGAATAAAATAGACATTTCACTCTCAAATAGATAAACCCAAATGACCAAAATACCCTTGTTTTGTGTACTCTAACACTCCCTCTCAAGTTGGATAGTATATGTCATATAATCCCAACTTGTTACAAATATAATCTACTTTGCCCCGAGACAATCCCTTTGTAAAGAGATCTACCCACTGATTTCCTGAACTCACATAAGATGTGGTTATCATTCCACTTATCACTCTCTCACAAAGTGACAATTGACCTCAATATGCTTGGTTCTCTTATGGAAGACTGGCTTGGAAGAGATGTGAACAGCAGCTTGGTTATCACAGTATAGTCTCATAGTTTTGTCAACCGAGAACCCCATCTCTTGTAGCAAGTTCTTCAACCATACTATTTCACATGTGGTATGAGTCATAGCTGTGTACTTAGCTTCTGCACTACTCCTTGCCACTACTGTTTGTTTCTTGTTCTTCCAAGTTACAAGATTGCCACCAAGGAAGGTACAATACCCTGTAGTTGATCTCTTGTCTGATATAGAACCAGCCCAATCAGCATCTGTATATCCTACTATTTCAAGAGTCCATCTACTTTTGTATAGCAAACCACCACCTGGAGCACCCTTCAGGTACCTAACAATCCTTAGAACTGCTTCCCAATGAGGAATCCGATGATGTTGCATAAACTGACTCACCATACTTACAGCAAATGATATATCTGGTCGGGTAATAGTCAGATAATTCAACTTTCCCACCAACCTCTTGTATCTTCCAGGATTATCAAACTCTTCACTTGCATAACACTCAACTTGACATTAAGTTCCATAGGAGTCTGTTGATTTAGCACCTAACAGTCATGTTTCTTTAAGTAGGTCAAGAACATATTTTCTTTGACATAAGTTAATTCCATGCCTTGACCTTGCAACATCTATTCTCAATAAGTACTTTAGTTTACCCAAATCTTTCGTATTGAAGTGGTCCTATAGGAATTTCTTCAACCTGTCAATCCCATTATTGTCACTCCCAGTTATGACAATATCATCAACATACACCACTAGCAAGATTTTCCCATCTTTTGAGTCATGGCTAAACACAGAATAGTCTACCTGACACTATTTTATCCCAAAGTCTTTCACTACTTCACTGAACCTGCCAAACCATGCGCGTGGAGATTGTTTCAGTCCATAAATTGCCTTTTTGAATCTATAAACCTTACCATCCTCCCCTTGAGCAACAAACCCTGGTGGTTGCTCCATATACGCTTCCTCAATGAGATCACCATGTAGGAAAACATTTTTTATATCAAGTTACACGAGGCCAATCATACATAGCAGCTAATGAAACCAACACACAAACTGAAGCAATTTTAGCCACAGGAGAAAATGTCTCCATATAGTCCACACCATACAACTGAGAATAGCCCTTGGCCACTAACCTGGCCTTCAATCGCTCCACATTGCCATCTAGAAGATACTTCACTATGTAGACCCACTTACACCCAACAGCATGCTTACTAGGAGGAAGAGCAGTGAGTTCCCACGTGTGATTATGTTGTAAAGCAAATAGTTCATCTTCTATTGCTTGCCACCACCCTGGGGAGGTAAGGGCTTCCTGGACAGTATTGGGAATGGAAACAGATGATAGCAATGATATAAAGTTGCGATAAGAAGCAGAAAGGTGAGCAACTGAAATATAGTGTGAAATAGGATGAGAAGTACAAGTGCGTTTACCTTTCCGCAGGACAATAGGAAGATCAAGGTCCAAGGAAGAAGAAGCAATGACAGGATCTATCGACAATGGCTGAATTGGAGGAGGGGTCGGTTCTCTTCTGTAATTTTACATTTGTCTGATTGGTGGCCTCTCAGTAGTAACTGGCACAAGAGGTGAATGTGCAAATGGAATGGGAACTAAGAGAAGGGGATCCGCAACAAGGACGGGAAGAGGAACTACGGAGGAAGGAGAAGAAACCACGGCATCCGAGAAAAAATGAACCGATTCAAAGAAAGCGATATCGGAGCACACAAATGACTTATGGAAGTTAGGGTTATAGCACTTATACCCTTTCTGAGTCCTTGAGTAGCCAAGGAAGATACACTTAGTAGCTCGTGCATCTAACTTGTCTAAACCAAGCCCCAAGTTCTGAACAAAACAAACACATCCAAAGACACTTGGAGTGAGAAGAAACGGAGACAAAGTGGGAAACAACACCGAGAATGGAGATTGACTTCCAAGGATGGACATGGGCATCCGATTGATGAGAACATAGGATGTGAGGACAGCAATACTTAGAGCACCATTCTGTTGTGGAGTGTAGGCACAATTCACTGCAATGGTATAGAGGACTTAAGCATTAAAGATCGAGCAGTTTCAAGGAGATGTTGATTTTTCCGTTCAGCTACACTGTTCTGTTGTGGGGTGTAGGCACAAGAAGATTGATGAATTATCCCATGGTGCACTAAGTATTGCTGAAATGGTATAGAGGTGTACTCTTTGGCATTATCGGAGCGAAAAATTTTAATATGAACACCAAATTGGGTACGTATTTCAGCATAAATTTTTTGAAAAATAGAGAACAATTCACTGCAATCTTTCATAAGATAAATCCATGTCATCCTTGAAAAGTCATCAACAAAAATTACAAAATACTTATAGTCATTGTATGACATCACTTTGATCGGACCCAAGACACCAAAATGAACTAAAGAAAAAGGACTCAAGACACGACTATCAATTCTTGGACTAAAAGAGACTCTATGATGTTTCCCAAGCTGACATGACTCACAATCTAAAGATGAAAGATGACTAAAGGAAGGAACCAGCAACTTCAGAGCCTTGAGAGAATGATGGCCAAATCTGCAGTGCCATTGAAAATGAGTAAGAGACGACTGAAAAGCTACAAGAGGGCCACCACCGTCAAGGTAATACAATCCACCTGCCTCATACCCTCCACCAATCTTTATCCCCGTCTTGAGATCCTAGAGCACACAAGAAGAGGGATAAAAGGTTATGGAACAATTAAGTGACTTGGTTAATCTACTAACACACATAAGGTTAAAGGGGAATTTGGGGACATATAAAATAGGTGATAAAGATAAGGAGGAGAGATCAACATCACCAACACCACAGATGGGAGGTGTAGAACCATTAGCAAGAGTAACTGTTTGAGATGTGGAGGACTGAGAAAGAGAAGAAAATACATTAGGAATCCTAGACATATGGTCCGAGGCTCTAGAGTCAATGATCCAGTGTGAAGGCTTGGAAGCTAAGCAAGCCATACCTGAATGGGCAAGGGTAGTTGTGTTCTGCTGAGAAGATGTCTGAAGGAACTGCTCATATACTGCACAGAGTACACTGACCATCTCCTTCCTAGAAACACCAGTAGATGTGGAGGGGATCAGGTCAGGTTGCTGACTTTCAGTACCAATACCACTATCCTTAGTTACAGCATGGTTAGCCCAAGTGTTAGGTGGACCATGTAAATCATAACAGAAATTAACCGTGTGCCCCTCTAATCCACAGTATGTACACTTCCTAAGGGCATTACTTCTTCCTTTACCACGACCTCCCCCTGAGTCCCAACCTCCACTCCGGCCATCAGCACGGTTAAACATGGGACCACCATGGTTACCTAGAAGTCCACGGCCACCACCACCACCTCTATTTCCATGGCCTCCCCCTCTAGTCACCACAAAACTAGATCTATCTGAGAGAGAAGAATGCCCTGTAGACTCAATAGATGTCCTCTTAAGACGAGCAAAAACTTCTTCAAGTGAGGGAAGAGCAGACCCCCCTAGTATTTTTGCTCGAACAGACTCATATTCAGCCTTCAAACCCACTAGAAACCTTGTCACATCAAGTTGCCCACGCTGTTATTGTTGAATTTGAACATCCTATGTCAGAGGATGATACACATTGAACTCATTTCGGATATTCCTCAGATTTGCATAGTATTCCTCCAAGCTTTGACTGCCTTGCTTCAGATTAAAATACTCTTGGTACAACTRATACACCCTAGTTGTATTGTCTTGCCCAGAATACAGTTTCTTAGCATGATCCTAGATTTTTTTAGTTGTATCTAGGAACATAAAGTTTACGCTAATTTTTAGTTCCATGCTATTCTACAGTCATGTCATTATTTGTGCATCTTCTTGTTCCTAGTCACTAAACCCTAGAGAATCAGAGAAGGGTTTATCCTCTCTCACATGTTTTACTTTTTTTCTTGGCTTTTAAAAACACCTCCACAGATTTTGCCCACGGCACATAATTCTCACCATTCAACTTAATAGATGTCATTTGAACATTTAGGTAATCTGGAGAAATCATAATGCCTGTTTTATTGTCATTCCCATCTCCAATTGATGCCATCTTAACTAATTCACCTTACTTCACAAAGAAACCACTGTTATATGTAGAATATTCACCTTCAAATATTTAGCACAACCTCACGCACCTCCACAAAACTTATCACTTTCAGCACCACCAACTTCTTCAAATACACATTACACATCAAATACAAAAGCTGAAATCACTCATTCATTAAATCAAACACTTGTACTGCACACTACAGAACCATTCACACACCAAATACAAGGGCTGAAATCACTCAGCCACTAAACCAAACACTTACACTGCACTCTGCAGAACCAACTTGTACTCAGCTGAACACTSTTCRCCYRAACYTGCTCTCTTYRTACCATCGAATAGAGAGCTTCCTACCAATCACCACAAACAGCCACTGCACCACAAACCGGAGGCATGAAGGCCTCCTATAGAGAAAAATGACCACTCATTTTCAGCCTTTCCCTTAATCTCCAAGTGGTTCTTGAGAAATATGCAAAACCCTAGAGAGGAGAGCGATAAAAAAAATTGGGTAAACCAAAAAAAAAAGAGCAAGACGAGCAAATCTGAACTTGTTACATGCGCTCTGATACCATGTGAAAACCTTATTTAGTCCTAGGCTACAGTAGAGAAGAAGGAGAAGAAGAAGAAGAAGAAGGGTTCGACCAGTAGAGGAAAATCTGTCCTCTCTAGTCGACCCACTTGTATTTATCTCCAATGACATAGTTACAAGAAAGACCATACTGTCCCTCATAAGTGATGGGACACATAACTTAAACTTGAATAAAACCGACTTTTCACTCTCAAATAGATAAACCCAAATGACCAAAATGCCCCTGTTTTGTGTACTCTAACAACCAGACTAGAACATGATCCATTCACCATGCTACATACCCCATCACAAGGAGATCTAGGAATCACCATTTAATGATTCCATCAGGATCTCTCTCTCAAATATAAATCTTAGACAAGTAGTACACTGAATGAGGTCAATGTAATAAACTTTGGGCTTAAAAGAAAACCAAGAGCTCTAATTGTTCAATTGTTTTTACATAATTTGTGATAAATCTACTGTTTTAATATCTAGATAAGTAGTAAGGCTATTTCCATTCTCCTGTTCAAGTGATTAAATTATGCATCTATATTTGGTAATGAAAGGAGCAAGGAGGTTGCTATTGCTGGGCTAAAGTTGAAGGCTAAGTATTTACAATGGTTGAGTGCGTATATGAAATTGCGATTGATTCTGTTTTTGTTTAAAAAATATCAATTGTAATTGTTAATGCAGATTAAAGATGGGGAGAGATGCAATTAAGGCTAAGGATGCTGCGGAATCCTTCTCATATTATTTGGGAGTTCAGTTCTTGTTGATGTGTTCATACACTTTTCAGCCAAACATGGAGAAAGAAAGTCCTTTATTCTTGGAAACCCTCAAGAAAAAAAAAATGTTGCCTTCATCTTATTTGTTCTCATAGTACAATAAATGAGAACACCTAATGTTGTTTCATTTATCTTTTGTTTTCCTTTTTACTTTACATGTACTTCCCCAAAGAGGTAATTTTTTGCTATGTCTTGCTGTTTAGTGTCACCATGACTATATGATTTTGTTTTTCATTCTTTTTGGTGAGTAATGGGGTATGTGTTCAATCTTTAGAATTTAAGATGATATTTGATCCAAGGTTTGTTTGGGGGTTATAGACCCTTCCAGACTTTACCACCTTTAACCAACCTACTAGGAAAAGGAACATATACATAAATGCAGGGCTAGCCAGTTTCTAGGAAGATTGTTTTCTTTGGTACCAATTCTCTGGTTGAGTACCAAATGGGTGGGTTGGGTTAGGTTGGGTGCGGGTTGAGTACCAATCCATCCATATACCGACCATTCCCGGGTGCAATTTGGGCGGGGTCAATCGATTGGGTCTAATCTAAGTTTGAAATGATCCAGTCTAAAATTTTAAAATTTTATATGGATTGGGCTGGCCTAAGAATTTGGTCTCTTTTATCTTTAAGGTTGGGCCTAGTTCTTAGGTAGCTCGAACGCAGGTTGACTATAAACGTATATACATATATAGATATGTATTTATTTATATGTATGATAGTACTAATATACATACATGTATAATTTTAAAGCGGATTGTGAGTCTCGCCCACGTTTGAGCTCAAAGCAAGTGCATCGAATTACAATGTGGGTTTAGCTTATTCTGGACTTGGACCTTAAATCCAAATCTTGGAGTTGGGCCTATATTGACCATAAACCCTGCCCAACTTGCACTCCCTACCCATATTTATTAGGTGTTAGTAGGTTCCAACCCATCTTGACCTTGACCCACCCATATGACCTACTAATTCAATGCAAATATTAAGAAAATACAAATATCATGCCAAATACAACTATAAATATTAAATAATTCAGAAAAATATAATAATAAGAAAACACAAAAATACAAAAATAATAAATACACAAAAATTGACATAAATTTGCCAAAAAAACAAAATATTCTAGAAAAAACACAAATTGATAAAAACTGAAAAAAAACATGGAAAGGATACAACTTTAAAACATATATTTCAGTAAAATTAGAAATTTCATAAAATACATGAATTGATAAAAACTCAAAATAAATATATATTTCAATCGAGAAATTGTAGAAACACAAAAAAAAATGATAAAAACCAGAAATTACATAAAACACATAAAATGATAATTTTTTTTTAAAAAAGTATATATTACAACCAAAAATAAGAAATTTCAGAAAATATTTAAAATGATAAAAATGAAAAAAAATTATAAATTTCAGCTAATGCCAAAAATTACAAAACATGATAAAAAAATTAACATACATAACCAAAAAATATAAGAATTACAATAAAAAACATTAAATGATAAAAATGGTAAAAAATACAAGAAGAAGAAAGATTTGGTTTGCAGTTGGTATAGGGTGCAGTTGGTTTCCAGTTGGTAAGTTTTCAGTCTTCTAAAGTTAAAGAGGCATAATTGGAATTTTGTCTTTTTTCTTTCTTCTTATTTTAGGGTGCATTTAGTTTGCAGTTGGAATTAGAATCAGAGTGGAAATGGTCTATTCTCATAGTCTGTTTCATTCAGATAAGAATCTGATTAAGAATTGGAATCAACTGGAATGGGATTTCATTCCCAAGGGAGGGGGAGGAAATGGCCATTCCCTCAAATGAAAAACCATTCCTTGAATGAGATTTCAATTCTATCCAACCAAACAATTAAAATCCGAATAACCCATTTTAATTCTGATTCTAGACCCCTACGAATCAAACGGAACCTTAATATGTAATTGTAAACAGATTTCGAAGAAAGATCCATCCAAAAAGCTTGCTGTGAAACTGAGAGGGAACTACAACTTCGACGTAACTAAGATGTGTGGAACTCCATGATTTCCAGAGTTTGTCGCGATCCTGAAAGGAGAATGAATTGTGATGGCATCTATTCGACAGAAAAGGCTTACATGGAAGATTTCCTCACCCGAGAGATAATGCCCAAAATCAAATGCACCATTTGAATCCATTTATGCTCAACCAGTAAGCATTGGATTTCTTTAGAAAGTTTCTTTTTTCTTAAAGTGTAGGAATAGATTTATTACTTGTCTTTTGATATTCATCGAATTGTATTTTGATTTCGTAGAACCAGTGTATCAACTTGGTCGTTGACCCAAGTAATAGAACCTGTGAACCGGTTGTTGAATGTTCTTAGGTTTTTCCCCTGAGGTAACGCAGATAGAATTGTACAAAAGCATAGCATAGATTTCCTACAGAAACGGAAGGCTGCATTTGCATAAACCAGGAATGAAGCTCTTCCGGAGTGAATGACTATATTTACATGTTTTGCAAGTGGGCATGGTAATTAACAGTGTAATTTAGGATCAGAGTCAGTGTTGAAAAATAAACTGACTTTAGGTTGGATTAGGGTTTAATTATCCTAAGACGTAACTAAATAAATCAATATATAAGTATGTATATATGTATGTAAACATGCATCAATATATGTATATATACAAGCATGTATGGATATGCATCAATAATTTTAAGTTAATTTACAAGATGCCAATTGACTAATTGGTAGAGTCTCTAGCTAATTGTAGCAAAGACTCAGGATCCAATCCCATCTACACCAGGGTTAGGTGTACTCCTCAGTCCCCACCAATATTACTTTCATAATAGTCACAAAAAATGGTTAGCGGAGTTAGTGGGGAGCAGGGATGTAAGCAGGGGGCCGAGGTGAGCAACTGAGCCACTGGGTCTAGGCGTTTAGTAACCCTTTTCAAGTGTCAAAGTTTCTTTTCTTCCCCTTCTTTAGTACTATTCCCTTTCCTAGTAGTAGCTTTCCTACATTTGTTTTTTCATTCTGACACACTGGATTTGTTTCTCTCTCTTTCTGTTTTTCTGTTTTTGCAAACATTAAGATGATTTGATATTAGAACTGGAGTTTCAGCTGCTGAGAGCCTGAGACCAGGTGAGCTAATGATACCCAGTCAAAGGCAGAAGGATTGTAAACTGTAACTGTCTTATACTATTACCGATGGACATAGAGCTTTTCTAGGCAATCTGCCATGGAAAGTACAATATCATACTCTGGGAGATGAAAATAAGGGAAATTTTGCAGTTGCTAACACCACAACTTTTCAATCCAAGTTTCATAACCTGAGGGAACTAGTCCTTCCATTTCTAATTTCCCACCGACGCACATCAAAAAGGGCTGGTATGCTTTTCCTTTACATTTGTTAGGTGACAAAGTTTTTATATGGCCATATACCTTTATCTTTGTCCACTTTATGTGCATCACAGCTCACAAGCACCATCTTCAGATCAGAGTAGCTTGTCATTGTTCTTGAATTTATAGTTGTATGAAACACTAGACTCAAAACATTCCCTGTTGCACTTCAGCTACAAATGATGCCTTAAAATTACCTGAGAACAGGGAGGATCCTAAGGATCCGTCCTGATGAGATAAAATTCTCTGGTTGACATCCCTGGAGAAGGTAGAGTCTTGATGGCGGTTGAGATCGGCTTCAGTGCTCACAAGAGACTGTGAGAATGGTGTGAGCATGGTCTTGTGAGCACTGAAACGGATTTCCTTTGTGTTTTGTTAGCCTGGAAAATTAACATGTATAGCTTATCTCCAATGTGCATTTGATTACTAAATTCTGAATTATGAATTCAGCTAAGGTGCATTTTGAATATTTATACCACATTAAATTAAATTTTCAATTAATAACATTAAAGATGTCACATGTCACATGATGTATTTATTTTCCGTATTTCATAAAATGTACTTAATATTAAAGACTAACAACATTAAAGCCAGGGGGTGGCCCAGGGGAGCCATCACCCTCCTTAAGTCCTTATGCTTTGAAAATTGAAATTCCTCACAATCTCTATTGGTGATTCACTTATCCTTTGACCCATCGCCATTATTTTATTAACTTTTGGCCCCCTTAGTCTATGTTGTTGAGTATTTGCCCCTCCCCCCAACATAAAATCCTAGCCCCGCCCTTATTAAATCTTCCACTGTGATGAACCACTTTATCACTAATTCAAACTTTTTGTTTTATAATGCAGTTCACGTACCATTAGATTTTGCTATGAAATATTATCTCCACGGCTTCTTAAAATTTCATAGATCTCTATAAGTTCTCTTCTCTTGTATAGACGATTGAAGAATTGTAGATGCCACACACTTGAAATATGTTTTATTAGAACAAACAATTCTTGCAGTTGATATTCCAATCACAGAAAATTACTTTATTTCCCTCTGCTCTATATGCGTTTCACTTACTGTGCCCAATCATCTTTCTGCTTCTTGCTCAATCATCTTTTGTAAGGAACACCATCACCCTGTAAGATAAGAAAATTGTAAAAATTTAAAAAAATAAATAAATGTATTAAGATAGTAGAATATAGCTGCTGTTCTGTCAGAATTTCCACATCTATTAATCCTTCCAAGAAGAAAATATACACTTAAGAGGTGGCGTTGATGCAGGCGTGCTTCTGCAGAAATCATTTAACAAACAATACGGTCTCTTTCTTTTTAACTGTCATAGTTGATGATGATTATGAATGTTGGAAAACTAAAAAGCCAATATTTTGTTTTCCTTTTTTTCAGTTTTGTATTATCTCTGGATGAAAAGGACTCATGGCATCCATGATATAGCTATGAAATTTTGATGGATTCGTATGATTTACATGCTTTACTTTTGATGTTACACAATACACCTGCAATACATTCAACTTATGTTCTTCTTTTCCTCGATTCTCGGACTGTTGGGAAGCTAACTGCTATTTCTGTATGTTTAGAATGGTCATCTCCACATTAGTTTATCTCTTGAAGATTAATAATATTGATGGTGATGATGATAACGATGATAACGTTTGATTGTTATTTTATAACAAATGATAAAAATCTAAATAAATTAAATAAAACAAAGCAATGGCGGGTTCAATTTTTCAGATTACTTTAGCCCGATACATATTAATACTTTGAACCTTGATTGTACAAATAGTTTGTTTTGATAAATTCATCTAATTGGTTACGATTTGATACCGATTTATTGTTATAACTTATCTTAGGAGTCCGGATCTGCTCACACCAATTTCACAGCATGTTCATGGATCTGTTCATCACACTGACTTTACAATATATTCCAGCAGCACATCGGAAACATTTTTCGTTGTTTGTTATTATTAATGGGAGATGTTCCAAATATACATTGATCTGTGGCTGACTGTGACTGTTGGTGTGAGAAGCAGATCCAAATTTGTATCATAGTCTAAAACCCCATGAAGAAAAGAAAGGGATCTATCAACAAAATACTCTCAACAGTTCCAACCAGTCATTGCAATCGGGGTATCGGACATGTAAAATGGTAAAGAGGGTAGGGCGGGGCGATGGAGAGCCACTCCCTGAAACTGTAAAAATCCCTATCCATCGTCCCATCCCACCAATAGGGATAAGGTTATCATCCCAGTCCCACGGTATCACACCTCCCCCCACTGATTTTTTTTGTCAATCATTGGAACCATACATGGTAAAGCTTGACAGCCTGGAATTGCCTGCAGTCTACATCTTTGCTTCAAAATTGATCTAGGCTTTGGTGAGATGTCAAATTCAGTTGTTTTCAATTGGGAGATTGAATGACATTTCATGGCTCCTAAAATTGTAAAATAGGTAAAGAATCTTCTTTGTTGTACAACCTGTACAATACAGCTGGTGTTAGCTTGAATGAACGACACCTGAAGAATAAAATATCGCAAGTCGCATGCCCCAGACATCAGTCACAGAGTCACATGACAATAGATAATGCCTCGGCGCATCAAAATAATTTTTGCACCAAATATGAAACAAATGCTGTGTTTGGTTGCAGAGATATTTTATTTGCACTAATAATATATAAAAGTGCAAATGGAAAAAACGCAAATTTAGTTTTAATTTTATTTTATTCTGCATCAAGTCTTATTTTACTTTATTATTAACCAAAGTAAATAAAATTTGAAACAAAAATAAATTAAAACTTTAAAACTTATAGCTAAATCATTTGCACTAACATAGTTTTGCATCAGTGCAAATGAATTTGCTATACAACCAAACACAACCAAAGGGTCAGTGCAAAATATAATATCACAATTGCGTTTGACGGCTTCTGTATCAAAGAAAATAGAGGGTTCAAACACCCACCTCCCCAAACGCACAAAAAGGAATCCAGTTGTTTTACACTAGTCCAAATGCAACACCACAGAGGGAAAATTGTGATTGTACTATAATATCCCTTCAAAGTTCAAACAAAGTTAACTAACCGAAGTGAAAGAAAATAAGCCAGCCAGTAAACATTACTTGTGACAGAATGTTAGAACAACCAAAGCAGTACGATCATAGAGAACAAGGCAATAGGATATTGCAGCAGCAAACCCATCCCCACATCAAAAATACTCATTGAAAATATAGCAAACAAGAAACTCCAACTTGATGCAAGCAGAGGAAGCTGCACATTTATATCCCAATACAAATAGCGACGGCAGCAATCCTTTCTCTTACTCATCCTGAAGCTCCTCTTCATCTTCATACTCATCACCCTCCTCGTCAGCTGTGGCATCCTGGTATTGCTGGTACTCGGACACCAGATCGTTCATGTTGCTCTCCGCCTCTGTAAACTCCATTTCGTCCATACCTTCACCAGTGTACCAGTGCAAGAAAGCCTTCCTCCTGAACATGGCAGTGAACTGCTCACTGACCCTCCTGAACATCTCCTGGATTGATGTGGAGTTACCGATGAATGTTGAGGCCATCTTCAAACCTGTAGGAGGTATGTCACAAACTGTGGACTTCACATTGTTCGGGATCCACTCGACGAAGTAAGATGAGTTCTTGTTCTGAACGTTGATCATCTGTTCATCAACCTCCTTGGTGCTCATCTTGCCACGGAACATGGCAGAAGCAGTGAGATACCGCCCATGTCGTGGGTCGGCAGCACACATCATATTCTTGGCATCCCACATCTGTTGAGTGAGCTCGGGGACGGTAAGGGCACGGTATTGCTGAGACCCACGAGATGTGAGCGGAGCAAAACCAACCATGAAGAAGTGCAATCGAGGGAACGGAATGAGGTTGACTGCCAGCTTGCGAAGATCAGAGTTGAGTTGACCGGGGAACCGAAGGCAGCAAGTGACCCCACTCATGGTCGCAGAAATCAGGTGGTTCAGATCCCCAACTGCTCATAGATAGTCATTTGTTAGTCCAAGAACAATCCATTTTAATTGAAAACTAAATTAAATTATCATGTCGACGTTCTCATCAGCAAAAAACCATGAATGTGAAAATAATCAACCAGCCTTGTAAATGGTGACTACTCAACACAATTAGATTATTTTCAACGTAATGCAATAAAAATTCACAACTCATGCACTGAGGCAAGTAAAATCCAATACAAATTGCCGTGTTATTAGAGGACCGAAATGTAAATAGATCTAACGCAAAATACCATTTTAACAAATGGGTGGCGGGTCCAACCGACAGACGACCCATGTGCAATAAGGGTGTAGAGATGGTACTACGCTTTATAATAATGACAATAATAATAAAAAAAAACATGGTATCATGTGACCTATGCAATCGCCATAATTACTACACTTTGTTCTAAAATTATCATCCATGTCCAACCATGATTTCTGTAAAATGCCCCTGTTATTTATGTTCGTATCACTGTACTATGTAAAAGGAAAGGGCAACGATGTCATTGAATGCAATCTTTCGCCGATTGACAAACATATTTTAATTGTCATCCGGGAAATGTCAGAGGCAGAGGAACACCACACAATTTCTTTAGTGTGGAAAAGGTCACACATTGGGCGTCGAAGCACTGAAACCCTAAAGGCAGTATATGCGACTTGATCAATAAAGTATAACAATTTGACACCATCACAAGCGCAGAGAGAGAGAGAGAGAAAGAGACTTACAGCTTGGAGTAGTGAGCTTGAGTGTGCGGAAGCAGATATCATAGAGAGCTTCGTTATCCAAAACCATGCACTCGTCTGCATTCTCGACAAGCTGGTGAACAGAGAGGGTAGCGTTGTAAGGTTCAACGACCGTATCAGAAACCTTCGGAGATGGGAAGACTGAGAATGTAAGCATCATCCGATCCGGGTACTCCTCCCTGATCTTTGAAATGAGCAAGGTTCCCATTCCTGATCCGGTTCCACCTCCCAACGAATGGCAGACCTGAAATCCTGAAAGGAATCACAGAGAACAAATTGAGGATTTAAGGGCATCAAGGCGCAAAAAATCAAAATAACTTACGGGTAAAAATATTACAGAAAAGAAATGCCAAGAACCAACAGCAAGCATCTAAGAAAACTTTTCGAGCACAAAAACAGGAGCCAACAGCACAAACGTTATTTCAAAAAACCAATATTAACTTAGAAATTGTAACAGAATTCAAGAGAATATCATCAACCATTGGCAAAGTAGAAATAACAGGATAAGCCAGGGTTCGACAGAAAATCTGAGGCATATAAAACGAAATCAACGGGCTACACTGGCCTTGTATTCAGAATGAATCAAGCTCAAGTATCGCAAGAAAATCTTGGCAATAAAAACTATAACAAAGAATACAATCTTGAGTGAAAGCAACTATAAAAGAAGAAATAGCAAGAAAGTGTCATCTTCAACTCAAAAGGAAAAAGTTAGCAACGAAATAGCTTATACAGAGCAAAATCGTGTAATGAAGACAGAGGATTAATAGGGCACATGGAGACGATTAAAAGGAAATCAGAAAGATTACCTTGCAAGCAATCACAGTTCTCTGCCTCTTTTCTGACAACGTCGAGAACAGAATCGATGAGCTCCGCTCCTTCGGTGTAGTGCCCCTTGGCCCAGTTATTTCCGGCACCGGACTGCCCGAAAACGAAGTTATCAGGGCGGAAGATCTGACCATAGTGACCAGATCTAACACTGTCCATAGTCCCTGGCTCCAGATCCATCAGCACCGCACGAGGAACAAACCGTCCACAGCTAGCCTCGTTGTAGTAGACATTAACCCTCTCGAGCTGTAGATCAGAGTCCCCATGGTACCTTCCGGTAGCGTCGATCCCATGCTCAGCGCACACGACTTCCCAGAACTTGGCACCGATCTGGTTGCCGCACTGGCCTCCCTGGATGTGCAAAATCTCACGCATCTTTGAGCTGCAAATGGAACTAGACGCAGAGATCCGGTGAAAAAACGTGGATTACAGACGACGAAGGTCTGGTAATGGAAGACAAAGCGGAAGATCAAAGAGAAGAAGCACCTAAAGAAATGGGGAGAAAAGGGGAGACAAGGAGAAATTTATAGGTCGGATTAAACGATTTCCGTCTTCCGTTTCATTGACGTTAGATTTGACGGAAACGGCGTAAACGCCGCTTGTTTTAAGTGGGAATTTGAATTTTGAATTTGAAATGGAAATAAATGGCCCGTTCGACAGAACAGAAGGGATTGGATGAAAAGGCCAGCTGCTAGACCAGTCCAGACTCGAGAGAAGTGAGAAGTGAAAACCGAAAACCCTATTTCTTTAAGCGAGCGAGGCGAGACGTTGGAAGGATCGTCCATCAGATCAAAGGTGATTTGACAAATGTAGCCGTCCGATCATGAACGTAAAATGAGACATGGTCATCATAAAGCTGGCCCACCATCAACCCGGTTGATTTTGTAACCGATTCACGGGATAAAAACTCGTATGTTTCGTTGGCCCAACAGTAGAGGTCCAATTCCTCGTTGCCTTGTCGTGATAGAAACCAATTCTCGAAAATCAAGAAGCATTTTGGGCTTTTGTATGTCAAAGAATTCAAGCATACATACAGCAACTGATGGGCCCAGATAATGAAGGGGGTGGTGGGCCATCTCCGTGAACGGTGGGAAATGGGATGATGGGATCCACATAGCTGTTTGCACATCAGATGCTAGAACTAGGTAAGGTAGCACGAGATTGAAGGATAAGGTTGGAGAACTTGGAGTATATTGACAGAACCACTTGTTTGTGTGTGTGCTGTTGGTAACGTGCTTTTTACTCTGTGGTCTGACAGGCACACATGGTCCAGTGAAGGCCCAAAAAAAGAAATTCAATTCTTGTTCAACATCTTCAGATGGGTTGTTCAACTTGAGCTTCAAGATCCATGCTCCATGAATGAAGCACATATGGTTGTCATAAGAGATAAGACCCTTGGATGCAAAGCAAAGAATGAAATAACCCACCACCATTTGCTTGATGTGGGTCCTCCAGTTGTATTATATTCAGATTGAATGGAGGGGATTTAATCAGATGGTCACAGCAACCTTCTCATCAATTTTATTTGTATGTTTGATACTTGGTGACGAAGTTAACTCTTTACCAAACACTCCTCGATTGAGTGTTTAGTAAGGGGCGGATTCATAACGGCTGAAGTGACCGAAACGAGTCATTCATTAAGTTTAGCCACTTATCAAGGCCCACATGTAGTGGAAATTCTTCAAAATCACATATTCAATTACATCTTTTCTTTTCCTTCTATTAGTGCAATCGGATTGGATTCAGCCGCATTCGGTTCCATTTGTATTGGATTGTGTTAGTTTAGAATTGTTGGATTAATTTTAATATAATGGTTGATGTGATTTGTCTTTAAGTTAAAGAGATTTTTTTGTATGTAGGATTAAGGCTTTGAGAGAAAATGGTGAAAAAAATATAGAGTGTTTTTGGTGTAAGAGTGAATTTTTCTCTTATTTTTGTTTTTCGGGTTGAGAGGAAAGGGAGAACGGGTGTACAAGGGTTAAGGGTTGGTTTGGGCTGCAAATTGCAAGATACTTGTATTGTTTTTAATTTTCTTTCATAGTGAAGAACAGATTTTGTTTCTCTCGTGGACGTAGGCGGTAAGGCCGAATCACGTAAATTTTTGAGTTCTTTGTGGCGCATGCTTTTATTTGTCTTTGCTTGGATATTATCATTTTTGTTGCTATTAGATTTCTCGTTCTTGTTATTTCAAATACCTTGTGATTTTATACTGTGGGTGGTTATTGTGAGGCCCCACCAAATTAGTATCAAAGTTCCCAGGTTAGTGTTTACAAGGTGTTTGTAAAATTACTTAAGAGATAATGGCAGCAAAAGGTACAGGTTCTCAGTTCTAGATTAAGAGGTTTGATAGCAAAGGCAGTTTTACTCTATGGCAAAGAAGGGTAAAGGATATCTTGGTTCAACAAGGCTTGGCTAGAGCGTTGAAGGGAAATGATGGGAAGCCAAAAGACATGAAGGATGCTGATTGAGAGAACATCGAGTCAATGTGTGTTAGTACGATTCGATTGCTCTTGGCTGATAACGTTATGTTTAACATTATGGAGGAAGATTCTGCATCAGAATTGTAGGATAAGGTAGAGATGCTTTATTTGGGAAGAAGCTTAACTACAAAGCTATATCTAAAGTGACAACTATACATAGGGGTGATCATGGGCTGGACTAGGTCTGGTCGGGCTTCGCACTTATGATAAGGGCTATACATTAGGCCCAGGCCTGGCCCGACCTAGGGTTCCGAGCCTGAAACATAAGCCCTAGGCTAGGGCTACACGGGCCCAAGTCGGGCTGGGCCTGATTTTGGGCCAATGTCTTTCATATATAAAACATTACATATCTATAATATTTTACATTAAATGACATAACATGCATATAAACCCATTTTATACATTATATAATACAAAATATTACATATAATATAAATTATACAGGTCATGTTATAATATTTATAAATAAAATATATAATCTAATGTAAATAACATGTGTGTATATATATATGTATGTATATATTATACACAAAATGTGTAAGTTTAAATATATGCGGGTCGGGCCAGGCTTGAAGTATTAAGCCCAAGCCTAACCCTAAAATTTGCAAGCCTGGGCTTGATGTGGGCCCAGGCCCGGGCCGAGCCTGAACACAAAACCCAGGCCTAAGCTTGGAATTTTTGGGTTGGGCTTTGTGTGGGCCGAGCTGAAATGATCACCCTTAACTTTAAAGGATGAAGGTGGAAGAAGATGGGAATCTCCTAAAACACCTAAATGTGTTTAACAGTATCTTAGATCAATTAGGGAAAGTTGATGCCAAGGTGGAGGACAAAGACAAGGCCCTTTTGCTTCTTACTTGACTTCCTGATTCATATGAAAACTTAGTGACAACATTGTTGTACGGGAAAGATACAGTGAAGCTAGAAGAAATTACTACATCTCTTTTATCCAATGAGATTAGGAGGAAGCCCAAGTATGAGAACAGGCAAGACTCTACATTGTCACGATGGGAACAGATCAAAAAGGAAGGTCGTCTGATAGGGGTTCTAAAAGCAATAAACTAAGGAAAAGGGCAAAGTATAGTGTTACAAATGCAAGGAATTTAGTCACATAAAGAAAGATTGTCCTACACGGAAAAGGAGTGGGGAAGAATCCAAAAGTGTGGCAATTGCATTTGATGGTAATGGAGACATTCTCATAGTTTCCAAAGGTATGTGTAATTTTTTTCCAAATGTGTGAGTTTTAGATTCTAGATGTTCTATGCATATTTGCTCCAAGAATGAATATTTTTACACGTTTCAAGAGAGGAAAACAGGTGGTCTCCTTGGGTGATGGATCTACATGTAACATCATGGGTGTTGGGACAATGAAAATCAAAATGTTTGATAGAGTGATTCACACTTTGGGTGGTGTGGCGTATGTCCCAAAAATGTGTAAGAATCTAATATCACTTAGCTAGTTAGACTCCAAGGGATTTAAGGTTTTTGTTGCAGGTGGATCCATGAAAATCACACATGGTGGTATGGTCCTGATGAAGGGAGAAAAAAAAGCAAGGGTTTGTATCATCTGGTTGGGAATACAGTGGTTCACAAGACTTCGACGGAATGTTGGAAACAGAATGTGCAATGTAGTATGGCCACATGAAGTGTCTCTTTTGTGGATAGAGAGTAGAGACAAGTGTTGCAAGTTTCCAAGGTATAAATGATGGTAAGAGGAAGATTCCTGTTGGAAGAGATGAATGATCGATGTCCTTCTCTGAAGTTAACTAAGATTGTTAGTTTAGGTATAATTACACAGATACATTGGTCGTTTTGTTTGAATCAGGTGGAGTTATGACCAAATGATTCAAATTATGTGTAGTTGGTGATGTTTTACAAAGCCAATGGAGGGTTGCGGTATTTGCAAACAAGTGGAAGCACAAATAGTATATCTCTAAGGTGGTTGAAAAATAAGCCAAGGTGGAGATTGTTGTGATTGTCTTATTTTATAACCGCTGGATTAATTTTAATCTAACGGTTGGTGTGATTCCTCTTTAGGTTAAAGAGGTTTAATATATAAAAGCTTTCTTCTGTATGTAGAGTTAAGGCTTTTGGGGAGAGAAGGGTGAGAGAAAAATACAGAGTGCTCTTGGTGTGAGAGTGAGTTTTTCTCTTGTTTTTATTCTTCGGGTTGAGAGGAAAGGGAGAATGGGTGTACAATGGTTAAGGGTTGGATTGGGCTACAAGCCGCAAGGTACTTATATTATCAGTTTTATTTCATAGTGAAGAACAGATTTCGTCTCTCTCATGTACGTAGGCGGTAAGGCTGCACCACGTAAATCTTTGAGTTCTTTGTGACGCATGTTTTTATTTGTCTTTGCTTGAATTTTATCATCTTTGCTACTATTAGATTTCTCGTAGTTATTATTTCAAATATATTGTGATTTTATATTGTGGGTGATTGTTGTAAAACCCTAACAAAATGTTTGGTAATTAGAATGAATGTCTCGTATTTGGTTTTAGATCATATTGGTTTCTTTTGGATTTTTTCAAAATGTGAAACAAAGCGCGCCCATTCATTCCAGATTATTACATGAACGCAACTTTCATAATCAGAATCCGATCTATTTATGTGAATAGGATCACCCAAATTGAAGTAAATCGGATAGAGTCTAGGACTTCTGGACTTGCACCGACTGAACAAAAGTAACAAATCATGTTTGTTGCAAAAGCCTACCCTTTAGCCTTGATGCAAAACATATGACTACGACATGAGTGGGGCCAACCATACCCTCAAAAGTAGATCCCCGTAAATCCATCTACGGACTTTTGAAATGTAGTGTAAATGTACTTTTACATTGTTGAAGTTATACATAGATAAGTTTAAAAGTTATGTTAAATATGTAAATGAAAGTCGAGACTATCAATGTTGATATAGGCGCACATCTTGACCATCCATTCCTAACAATCTTTAACCATTTAATTGTAAGGTCAAGTATAAAAGGGGGTGCCCAGTTTAAGGTAAATCCATTTTGCTTATTATTGCTCTT